ACTTATAAAAATATAAAAATGATTACGAGCATACAAAATGATAACGTTTTATATAGGATTAAAATACGGCACGCACCGACAGAAATAAGATAAATAAGCACAAATTCGTTTGTCTCTTTCGACGCTCAATCGTACTGAGCAAGTTAAAACAACTATCGATGAACCAGCCGATTGCTACCGGAATTCACCAATGGCATTATTTAACAAAAACTTGTTACAATTTGATTGTGTACGGCGTACGGGCTACCCTACGAAATCTATGTTAAGTATTTCTAGTTTATATACCATCATACAGGGCAGAAATATAAACTAATTATTCGATATTGAGTAGTAGATAGGTTTTAATCTTAGTACATTTTAAAATATAAAGTATATAAATGAAATTACAAATCAACCATCGCCCCCCTAAACCACGCCAACGCCCCCCATTTTTTCTGGGCCCCTTAACGCTCCACTCCAGGTCTCTAACGCCCACAAAGAGGCGTTATCGCCCTCTTTGAGAAAGACTAATTTACAATAAGGGGCTATCCTAAGGATGTAATTATAAATAATAAAAGACGAATGTATATGTTCGAACAATAAATAAAAAATAAACTCAAAAATAAAAATCCAGGTGTGGCTAGGTTCACACGCTCGCGTTGGTTGCCTGGCTGCTAAACTGACTTTACGGCTCTGGGTTCTAGCCCTTCTGAGCCTGAAGTTACAATGTTTATTTATCCTTCATAGTACACTGCTTCACAATATGTTGATGCGTCACATTATGCAGCCCTTGGAAGATTTTGACATCAACTTGAGCCAGCAGACAACTGACAGTTGGCAATGGTATCTTAAGGCGCATAAGGAGACAGACACCTTATCTTGAGAACCACATCACCATCAGAGCACTTGTTTCACCGTTTCCACTAATAGTTCACATGCGCAGACACTTAATACACAAAATCGCACCACTTTTGCATATCAAAATTCACTTCAAACCATTATTTAAACAATAATACAATAGCAGCATACCTCCACCAGTCAAGTTCCAGCACAAAGAAGTTGGCTTGGAAGTATGACTGGTCAAATTAATGAATAGGTGCACATAATTGCTCACTAAATGCTCAATTCAAATCTGCAATTGCTCACACTATTAATTAATTATTTAATTAGTTATAAATAATTAAAAATACAGAATTTTTTTTGTCTATTATACATAAAACCAATAAACTTTTTTTAAATGAATAACTGCCCATAATTGCTCACAAAATGCTTAATTTAAATCCGCAAATGCTCACACTATTAATAAATTATTTAATTATTTATTAATAATTTAAAATACAAAATTGTTTTTACCTACACCGATCAGATTAATGAATATGCGCTAATAATTGCTCACTAAATGCTCAATTCAAATCTGCAATTGCTCACACTATTAATTAATTATTTAAATAGTTATTAATAATTTAAAATACAGAATTTTTTTTGTCTATTATACTTAAAATCAATAAACTTTTTTTAAATGAATAACTGCCAATAATTGCTCACTAAATGCTCAATTCAAATCTGCAATTGCTCACACTATTAATTAATTATTTAATTAGTTATTAATAATTTAAAATACAGAATTGTTTTTGTCTATTATACTTAAAACCAATAAACCAATTTTAAAATAAATAAGTGCTCATAATTGCTCACAAAATGCTAAATTGAAATCCGCAATTGTTCACACTATTAAATAATTATTTAATTACTTATTAAAAATTTAAAATACAAAATTGTTTTTTCCTAAACCATTCAGATTAATGAATAAGTGCTCATAATCGCTCACTTAATGCTCAATTCAAATCTGCAATTGCTCACACTATTAATTAATTATTTAATTAGTTATTAATAATTTAAAATACAGAATTGTTTTTGTCTATTATACTTAAAACCAATAAACCAATTTTAAAATGAATAAGTGCTCATAATTGCTCACAAAATGCTTAATTGAAATCCGAAATTGTTCACACTACTAATTAATTATTTAATTAGTTATTAATGATTTAAAATACAGAATTGTTTTTGTCTATTATACTTAAAACCAATAAACCAATTTTAAAATAAATAAGTGCTCATAATTGCTCACAAAATGCTTAATTGAAATCCGTAATTGTTCACACTATTAAATAATTATTTAATTACTTATTAAAAATTTAAAATACAAAATTGTTTTTTCCTAAACCATTCAGATAAATGAATAAGTGCTCATAATTGCTCACTTAATGCTCAATTCAAATCTGCAATTGCTCACACTATTAATTAATTATTTAATTAGTTATTAATAATTTAAAATACAGAAATGTTTTTGTCTATTATACTTAAAACCAATAAACCAATTTTAAAATGAATAAGTGCTCATAATTGCTCACAATATGCTTAATTGAAATCCGCAAATGCTCACACTATTAATAAATTATTTAATTATTTATTAATAATTTAAAATACAAAATTGTTTTTTCTTACACCGATCAGATTAATGAATATGCGCTCATAATTGCTCACTAAATGCTCAATTCAAATCTGCAATTGCTCACACTATTAATTATTTATTTAATTAGTTATTAATAATTTAAAATACAGAATAGTTTTTGTCTATTATACTTAAAGCCAATAAACCAATTTTAAAATGAATAAGTGCTCATAATTGCTCACAAAATGCTAAATTGAAATCCGCAATTGTTCACACTATTAAATAATTATTTAATTACTTATTAAAAATTTAAAATACAAAATTGTTTTTTCCTAAACCATTCAGATTAATGAATAAGTGCTCATAATCGCTCACTTAATGCTCAATTCAAATCTGCAATTGCTCACACTATTAATTATTTATTTAATTAGTTATTAATAATTTAAAATACAGAATAGTTTTTGTCTATTATACTTAAAACCAATAAACCAATTTTAAAATGAATAAGTGCTCATAATTGCTCAAAAAATGCTTAATTTAAATCCGCAAATGCTCACACTATTAATAAATTATTTAATTATTTATTAATAATTTAAAATACACAATTGTTTTTTCCTGCACCGATTAGATTACTGAATATGCGCTCATAATTGCTCACTAAATGCTCAATTCAAATCTGCAATTGCTCACACTATTAATTAATTATTTAAATAGTAATTAATAATTTAAAATACAAAATTTTTTTGTCTTAAATACTTAAAACCAATAAACTTTTTTTTAAATGAATAACTGCCCATAATTGCTCACAAAATGCTTAATTTATATCCGCAAATGCTCACACTATTAATATATTATTTAATTAGTTATTAATAATTTAAAATTCAGAATGGTTTTCGTATATTATACTTAAAACCAATAAACTTTTTTTTTAAATGAATAACTGCACATAATTGCTCACAAAATGCTTAATTTAAATCCGCAAATGCTCACACTATTAATAAATTATTTAATTATTTATTAATAATTTAAAATACAAAATTGTTTTATCCTTACCCGATCAGATTAATGAATATGCGCTCATAATTGCTCACTACATGTTCAATTCAAATCTGCAATTGCTTACACTATTAATTAATTATTTAAATAGTTATTAATAATTTAAAATACAGAATTTTTTTTGTCTATTATACTTAAAACCAATAAACTTTTTTTTAATGAATAACTGTCCATAATTGCTCACAAAATGCTTAATTTAAATCCGCAAATGCTCACACTATTAATAAATTATTTAATTATTTATTAATAATTTAAAATACAAAATTGTTTTATCCTTACCCGATCAGATTAATGAATATGCGCTCATAATTGCTCACTACATGTTCAATTCAAATCTGCAATTGCTTACACTATTAATTAATTATTTAATTAGTTATTAATAAAAATACAAAATTGTTTTTACCTACACCGGTAAAAACAATTTTGTATTTTAAATTATTAATAAATAATTAAATAATTTATTAATAGTGTGAGCATTTGCGGATTTCAATAAAGCATTTTGTGAGCAATTATGGGCAGTTATTCATTAAAAAAAAAGTTTATTGGTTTTAAGTATAATAGACAAAAACTATTCCGTATTTTAAATTATTAATAACTAATTAAATAATTAATTAATAGTGTGAGCAATTGCAGATTTGAATTGAGCATTTAGTGAGCAATTATTGGCAGTTATTCATTTAAAAAAAAGTTTATTGATTTTAAGTATAATAGACAAAAAAAATTCTGTATTTTAAATTATTAATAACTTTTTAAATAATTAATTAATAGTGTGAGCAATTGCAGATTTGAATTGAGCATTTAGTGAGCAATTATTAGCGCATATTCATTAATCTGATCGGTGTAGGTAAAAACAATTTTGTATTTTAAATTATTAATAAATAATTAAATAATTTATTAATAGTGTGAGCATTTGCAGATTTAAATTAAGCATTTTGTGAGCAATTATGGGCAGTTATTCATTAAAAAAAAAGTTTATTGGTTTTATGTATAATAGACATAAAAAATTCTGTATTTCAAATTATTAATAACTATTTAAATAATAAATTAATAGTGTGAGCAATTGCAGATTTGAATTGAGCATTTAGTGAGCAATTATGTGCACCTATTCATTAATTTGACCAGTCATACTTCCAAGCCAACTTCTTTGTGCTTCAAGTTTCCACCAAAACTCCCGTGTTGGTTGATTATTTTTTATAACTGGTTTTACGGCTCTTGGTTCTAGCTCTTCTGAGCCTGAAGATACAATGTATAATTATCCTTCATAGTACACTGCTTCACAATATATTATGAACGATACATAAATATTGTAACTTCAGACACAATATATTGTAAAGCAGTGTACAATGAATGATAAATAAATATTGTAACTTCAGGCTCAGAAGGGCTAGAACCCAGAGCCGTAAAGCCAGCTATAAAAAAATCGACTTCGAGTCGAGTCTATTGAAACTGCCTTGTTTGTTTTTATTTTGGTTTGTTCAATATTTCAATACAAAAAAATAAATAATACATTAGCATGATGAATGGAAATCTTGTAATTCATAATATATTTAGTGAATTTCAAAAAAGTCTTGATGAGGAACAGGAACTACGTGAGGTATTTGTATTAAGAATAAAGTTTAAGCGTTTATTTGCCCGGTTTTATTATTTTAATTTACTTTAGAACGTTAATTTTATTACTAAAAACCATCAAAGAACTTTACTAATACTTATGCATGATCTTTAAATTAAATCTGGGTACTGAAGTTATTGGATAGTACACGAAACCTGTTAACATTTTAGGTTATCCGCAACATTTGCAAAGAAGTCGATTCTATATCTCGAAAGACAACAACTGTGCTTCAAGTTATTCATTATAATGAGGCGGGTAGTAAGTATTGTCATTTACATGTTTTTATTCCTTAAACTACTTCGCAGCAATCGATTTTTTTTTCATTTATTGTTTGTGATGGTGGTCAATGTTTAATTGTTGTCTATTTGTACAAAGCCCAATAAATTTATGTTCGTTGCTACTCTTGGCTAATTTGCCTGAAATAAAGCATAATTTTATTAAATAATTTAATTTTTGATTCCGACCTAGGTTATGATTTTACCCTATAACTGACTGGATTACTGGCGGGAATAAGCTGACGTAATTTTTTCGTGAAGCTGTAGTAATTAAAAGCAGATTTTTTTTATGTGAAACAGTACAGCACAGCCTTTTTCTGATTAGAATTTAAAATAATAAAAATACTGCAGTTGCTAACCTGCCTGCCAAGCTGCCGCTGTCTGTCTCACTCACTTTTCTGAATGTTTTTATGTATTTGTTGCTTTAGGTAATGTATGTCCGTACATGAACTGAATATTAGGCTCTATTTGAAAATCAGCGCAGCTGTCATTTAGTACAGTAACAGTTAACTGATATAGGGAACTAATTTGCCTTCACCCATATTGTAGGGTAATTTTTTTATCTTGTGTTTTTTTTCATTGTAAATAAAGTTAGTTACAAAAGTCTACTGCTGAACATAGGATTTACAATAGATTTCCCTTAAGACGGGATATTTGCCACTTAGCAGGCAGGTTGGCAACTGCAATTTTTTATTATTTTAGTAAGCATCTTCCAACATCCATGGAACCATACATTCTGTGTACTAAATATCGGGAATTTGTCAATAAAACAAAAAATACAAATTATTCATCTAAATTTATTTTATCGCCTTCAAAGTAGGCCCCATCGCTTGCAATACAACATCTCCAACGCTTCACCCAGTCTCCATACATTTTTCATAGGCTATTTGCGGTATGGCCTTTAGCTCATTCAGGGAATTTTTTTTTATGGCTTCTATCAACTCAAAACATTTTCCTCGAAGTGGTAATTTTAACTTGGGAAATAAAAAAAAGTCAGACGGAGCCATATCAGGTGAATACGGTGCTTGGTCGAGAACTTTTGTTGAATTTTTCGCTAAAAGCTCTTTCACTATAATGGCTGTGTGTGATGGTGCATTATCATGGTGCAGCAGCCATGACTTGTGTTGCCACAAATCTGGACGTTTTCGGCGGATACTCTCACGCAAACGCTTCATGACGCCTAAATAATATTCTTTATTCACTGTTTCTCCCTTTGGAAGGAATTCGGAGTGAACCACACCACGGTAGTCAAAAAAAACTGTCAGCATCACCTTGATTTTGGAGCGACTTTGCCACGGTTTTTTGGGTTTCGGCTCGTTTTCGAGACGCCATTCTGAAGACTGTTGGCTTGTTTGCATGTCGTACTCATAAACCCATGTCTCGTCGCCAGTTATTATACGTTTCATAGAGGTCGGATCCGTAGAAGCTCGGGAAACCATGTCTTCAGCGACATGCTTTCGCTGCGCTCTTTGAACAAAATTGAGCTCTTTTGGAACTAGTCGAGCGGCGACGCGTTTCACGCCTAAAATGTCAATGAGAATGTTGTGGACGGACTTAAAAAATATGTTCACCTCACTAGCCAACTCTCTCAGACTCATACGTCGATTTTCGAGCACTAGCTTCTTGATTTTGTCGATGTTTTCTTTGGTCGTAGCGGTTGAAGGTCTACCAGAACGAGGCAAGTCTACTACTACTTCTCGGCCTTCTTTAAAAGCCTTATACCATTCATAAACCCTTGTTTTCGATATACACGATTCGCCGTAGGTATTTCGCAACATTTTTAGTGATTCACCACATGAAATATCATTCGAAACACAAAATTTAAGGCACACTCTTTGTTCAACAATATTTTCAATTGTAAAAATCGCCGAGAACTCAAAACTATGACCAACAAAAAGTGTAGTTTAAAACAAATTAAATGACAGATCCCGCTCAAACTTTGCGCGCTAAATCAGTAGTGCTACCAACATGCAGTAAAAAAATTAGAACAACCTCTTTTACGCGGGTCTTTTTATTGACATATTCCCGATACTTTTTACACAGAGTTGTATGCAGTAATGGGTATTCTTATAGCGTCACTACATGATCAGGTCGGGTCCAGGTTAGGCATCAATAAAAAGTGTACTTCTACTTTTTTACTTCAGATTTTTTGTTGCCCAAAATAATGAGTATAATTATTACTATTATATGACAAATTTTCAAATTATTTTTGATATTTTTTTGAAAATAATTAGAACAGGAGATCTAACTGGACCATTCCATTTAGATCAGAGTTTCCCAACATTTGTTTGACTAGGGACCACAGATTTTTTCGTAGTTACCAGGGACCATAAGGTGAAAGAAATAACTGTTAATCTAACAATAAATTATAATCATAACTTTCAACATTATTATATAATAAACTGTATCATCAACATGCACATTACAAAATAGTGAAAACCCACTAATAGCAGTATACCGACTAATATAGCAGTAATGTTATATTAGTCGGTTAATTTGAAAATTTCTATTAATGGGAAAATATTTGAAAATAATTGTGTACGCAAGTAGGTACATTAATTTAAAATCAAATTTATAACTAGCGACCTGCTCTGCCTTTACTTGAGTGGGATCTATTAATATGGCGCTATTTAGACTTAAGATAATCATTAAAGACCATTTATTTCATCTTATCGATATTGCTATTTTTCCCCCAATTTTTTTGATAAAATTTAGTCTAGATCACTCCTAGTAGTACTCTCTATTTGTTTGTGAAGTTTTATTACAATTGGTTTTTATAAGTGGTAGAGCCATACTGCAGCTATATTAGTAGTATAATTGTAGCACAAATGGGTCGGCTCGACCGTGGAAGGACCACACTTTCACAGAATACCAACGTAAAATGGCAGCTTTACACTATTGTGTTTCATATGGTGAGTGTAGAAAACCGGAGACCCATTTTACTGGAAAAAAGGCATTCCATCTTTGTCCTCATGGGTGACAGTTCTATCAATAATAGTTAACACAGGGCATGCCAAAAGTGAAACATTGTTGGTGAAATTTTAACACCATAGATTAAAATACTAAATTGGGATAGGCTCAAACTATTTATTATTTTACCAAAAAAATGATGTCCCATTCTGGTTTGTTATCTGTAATATTGCCAAGTTTTATTAAAATATGTTCAGTTGTTTTTGTGTGATTTAACTACAAACATATAAACATCCAAAGAAACCTTCACATTTATAATATTAATGGGCAGTAGGATTCAATAAGAAAAATAATTTTATGTGTCAAATATTAACTTATGTTTCAGTTGCTCCTGCTTGTCTTCAGGCTAGAGAGTTGTTTGAAGAAGCCAATGCTGGATATGCTAAACTAAAAGATGCAGTACCCTCTACCAAATATTACAAGTATGATTATTTTGTTTTCATACCACTATGCAATAATAATGACCTTTGGAAAAATGTGGATTTTTGATAGGCTTAGGTACATAGATGTTTTTCTCACGAAAAAAAACTCCCTTAGTTGCAATCCACAGTATTCGTGAAATTTTGAGAGTTCGAAGGTGAATGATGTACTCTAATTGAGTCAATGATGTACTCAATTAATAGAATCAGGCGTTACTTTGCGAAAGTCCATTATATTAAAGTTGGTAAAAAATTACTCTGCATACATCCGCTCGATATAATAAAATGATGTGTCTTACCTAGTTTGAAGAGTACATCACACCCTCCCTCAATTGCGTGCACTATCACCGTCACCACTAATACCAGCACCACTACTCCCAACACCACTACACTAGGAAAGACACACCTCTGACAACAATACTATTTGTATTGTCGTCAGTGGTGCGACGAGGCGTTGTCGTGCTGAAGGAGGATCCTACTGCGAGGTCGTTTCTCTCGAACTTTTTCCGAAACACGTGGCAAACAATTGTTAGTGGACCACTCTGCAGTAACTGTTTTCCGATCCTCTAAAACAATTGTTGCGTAATGACTTGTCCGGCCACCATCTTTTTTCTCACGCTTCGACCTCTCTTCACTTTAGTTGGCAACTCCTCGGAAGGAAACACCCAGACAGCAGACTGTCTTTTAGTTTCAGAATCATAACAATAAATCCAGATTTCCTCACCCGTAAGTATGCCGAAGCATTTGAGTCACCCCCGTTAAATCTTTGAACCATTTCACGACACCAATCAACACGACGGAGTTTTTGGGCCTCTGTCAAATTATGAGGTATCCACCGGGCACAAAGCTTCCTGACCGCTAAATGTTCATGGAAGATTTTGTGCACTTGTGACTCATACCGATGCCTAAGCTTGTCCGAATCTGCTGATAAGTCACTCTTTTGATCAGTCTCTATCATATGCCGCACAACACTGATGTTATCTTCAGTCGGCGCCATAGAAGGCCGTCCCTCACGCAGATCATTGGTGAGATTAGTGCGACCACGTTTAAACTCATTAAACCATTTGTAGACAGGGGCACGAGATGGGGCTTCATCTTGAAAGGTGAATCGAAGTCTATCATAACTTTCTTGTTGACTTAAATGACATCGAAAGTCATAAAAAATCATTGTACGAAAATTTTTTCGCGTTAAATTCATGCTGACGTGACACAAACGATTTTCAATTTGCCGCCAAATCGTAAACAAATGACAAATGAATAAAATACATACACAATAATATTGGCAAATAGTTTCATTTTCAAAATTTGAACTTATTTTTTTATTATATCGTTTACAAGTGGCCAATTCTAAAAACTTTCAGTGTCGCCCTCGTACCGGTTTTCCACCCGCTTTCAGAAGCTCTGCTGTAATTCTATCCTCGCCTGGGGCCTTGCCTTTTTTAAGGTGCTGGAGAGCCATTCTAATCAAGCTTAAACTGACTTCCGGGATATCATCGGAATTGTGACTTGCTCTTGGATCGTTACTTACACTTGCGTGTGATTCCAACGATGGTGTGTACAGCTGCCCATAGAACCTCTCAATTTCACTCAAAATCTCAGGTGCCCCGGAAACGATGCTACCACACTCGGTCTTCAACTTTAACAGTTGGCTCTTTCTGGGAGACACATCTCTGGGAGTGACTTTGGAGCCTTGGTTCCGCTCGATCACTTCTTCAATACAAGCTGTATTGAGGTTGCGTAAGTCCCGCCGCACGCATTACGCGCCGAATAACTGAATACCGAATACTATTCGGTTTAACACATACGTTGCAATTGGCGATTAAAGCTTCATTACAGGTTCAAAACGTAAATGATGCTTTGACCTCTGCTAGAAGAATAGTGACACACTTCAACCACTCAAGCACGGTGCAAGAAAAGCTGAAAAATATCCAGAAAGAACTGAATCTTGCTGAGCATCAGCTTGTACAGAACGTCACAACGAGGTGGAATAGCACGTATTATATGTTGGAAAGAATCATAGAACAAAAACGTGCGATTTCACTTTACATTTCGGACAATTCTGGCACAGTAAATATTCGAAACTGTACTGAAAGGCAGTGGCTGATTCTCAAAGAATGTCTAATTTTATTAGAACCGTTTGAAGAAATCACCAAAATTACCAGCTCTACATTTTCGTCAATTTCTGAAGTGATTCCCCACAGTAACACTCTGATCAAATTTTTAACAAAGCCCGAAATTTCACAAATATGTTCTAATATACTAGCAATGGTACAGAAGCTACAAGAAGAACTTCAGAGTCGTTTTCTAATTTTGGAAGAAGACAAATACTATTGCTTGTCTACATTGTTGGACCCCAGATTTAGAATGAGATTGTTTGCTCCCGAAAAATGCGAACTAGTAAGAAAAGAGCTTTTTCTAGAAGCCATTCAAAGAAGCGACACTGATGCTGAAAGCTCAAGCGAAGATGAAATTGAAACAAACAGAGGAAGACCTCTACAAGATGTTATAAATTTTTTTAGAGGAATCGCATATAGGATTTTGGAACTGTTATGAAGAACTTGACTCGCCCTGTCATTTACGAGGATCCTAAAAGCCCAATTGCCGTGGAATTGGACAGTTGTGTAGCTGAAACTCTTCCATCTAGAAACCAGAGCCCTTTTATTGGTGGGTAAAGCATAAGTATAAGTACGCACAGTTATCTAATTTAGCCAGAGTATTTCTAAGTGCTCCTGGTGGCAGTATCTACAGCGAAAGATTATTTTCAGAAGCAGGAAACCTTTACGAGGAGAAACGCAACAGACTTGCCAGAGAAGGCTGAGAGCTTGGTGTTTCTGCACCATAACTTACACTTGATAAATTACAAATATTAAAATATTAATTTTTCTTTTGATTATGTTTTTTGTATATGATCTCACATACAATTATTTCCTTGTCAATTAGCCACATAAGCGTGTTCATTAAAAATAAATGTTGATTTGAGGTTTAATTGCTTTATTTTATTACATTCTCCAACACATTCTTCATACACTGCAAAAGTAGGGATAAATCTAGCATTTTTGCTTTAACATAAATCTTATTACAGAAGTTATATGTTCTTGTTTTATACTGTGTAGCTGTGTACAATAAATGGATAAGAAAATTGAAATATTTGAACCGAATATATTCGGCACCAAAACCGAACAGTTCGACCGAATACAAATGTCCGTATTTATGCAAAAAGGAACCACCTAGCAAACACGCACTTCTGAGATATCACAGGATTTACAAAATCATGTGCAGCTCTGTTAGATGAAGTAAAATTAACATTTATTTTATTGGAATTTGTTGATAAATTACTTATTTAAGTAAGTGTATATAAAGTTACTCCGAATATTTTAAATTCGGAGTATCCTTTAAATCCTTTGATATCTCAAAAGTGCGTGTTTTTTGGGTGGTTCCTTTTTGCATAAATACGGACAAATAGTGAATAAGGTGCCGAATAAGCCGAATACCGAATACCAAACGAATATTCAGCGCATCTCTAATATATATATATATATATATATATATATATATATATATATATATATATATATATATATATATATATATATATTATAGTGTAATATGAATATTCCCAAATACTTATAATATCTACTTACTTAAATAGGGATATATAATTACTATCTCTCAGAATAACTGACAGATAATAAATATTATATATTTAAAACAGGTACAATATATGACAATAGAATTTTTTAATGTTCTCACATACTGCTTTTGAAAACAAACTTGTTGGGAGCTTTTTTAATGTCAAGCAGGATGTAATTCCAGAGTATGGATGGCCGTGCGTTTGAAAAAGTGAGATAAATAACCAGTTCATACTTTCGGTTATTTTCAGATATCAAGATCACTGGAAATTTATGACTCAGCGTTACTGTTACCTTATTTCCTTAACCATTTGGCTTGAGAAAGGGATAATGGCAACCCATGAGACAGTGGCTGAAGTGCTTGGTAGTGAGTATGATTATACTGCTTAACCTCATAACTGATAGTATTTCAAAAAATATAGGTCGATATCAGTATCATGTCAAAAGCTTTACAGGGATTTAAGTGTGGATGTTGTAGAAGCTGGTAAATTTTTTTGTATAGTACTATTCGCAAAGCGAGGAAATAAGGAGTTTAAAGAAAATTTTAATTAATAATTTACATTTTAGGCTATAAGTCGCGATAATAAATAAGCGTTTTATATATGGCGGCTGAAGCATGTCTTCTCTCTCACACAATATATGTTGATATACTCGCACACCCACGCACCGTATGCAAAAAATAATATTGTAATCAGTTTCAATTTGCTATTCTGACACGCTTCAGTATTTGTTTTGATTATGCTCTATTCAGTATTGGTTTTTGTTGTTTTTATTGTTACACTTGGACTTGCTCCCACAAAACAAATGCATGCTTAAAACAAATGCAGTGCTTAAAACTAGACCGAATTAACATCATAACCACATTTCTTTAAAATTTTTTTCGACTTTTACTGTTTAGTTGTAATACCAATAAAATCCTAAAATATAACTTTAAACACAGATAACACTTTGGATTTATATTGATTTAAATAAATCAAAAGTCAGTTTTCGAATATTCTTCAGTGTTAAAGTGTCTTTTTTATTTCATTCCAGTAAGCGCAGTAGAAGAGAAAGAAGGTTTCCATCTAGACATAGAGGACTACCTTGTGGGTCTTTTGAATTTGTGCTCAGAGTTGGTAAGCTACTATAAAATTATCACACTAGTATCAAGTACAAAATGTATGTAATCTACATTGATGCCCAAAGAAGTTACTCGTAATCTTATAAACACTGCCAGCCAAAAGTTTTTTTACGTGGTAGAGCCATGCTGCAGCTATATTAGTAGTATAGTTGTAGCACGAATGGCTCGGCTCGACCGGGGAAGGACCACGCTCTCACAGAATATCAGCGTCAAATAGCAGCTTAACACTGCTGTGTTTCGTATGGTGAGTGTAGAGAACCGGAGACCCTTTTTACTGGAAAAGAGGCATTCCATCTTAGTCCTCACGGGTGACAACGCATCTGCATTTTGATTAGCAAACGAGGATAAATGTAGATGTCTATGGGCCACAGCAGCCACTTACCACCAAGTGAACTGTGTGTTCGTTTGTCACCCTAACCTAGAAAAAAAAATTGAAACAACCTCAATTAAAATAAAAAAAATGAAATAATGTTCAAAAGTCTTGAGGTGTATAAAAGAAGAGCAGGATGAAAAGTTGAAGTTTTATGTATTTTTCAATGCAAACTCATAATAAAATAAAAAAACTGTCAATAAATAAAATAGACATTGGCCGATTCTCAGACCTACCCGTTATGCACACAAAATTGTATTATAATCTACTAATTCACAAATTAAAAACATTAAAATGTAAATAAAATATCAACCATTGAGGAAGAAATGGTAATAAATATATTCTTAAAACTTTATGGCAAAAACTTCGAAATATTTTAACTGTTTTCACCGTTATTGACATACTAACAATCAATTTGTTGATTGTCTATTGTGAGATATATTATTCCAGGTTTCGTGTTAAGTCTTCCACATGTTTTTATATGAAGAGGAACATTGATCAGTAACATTTAACTATAAAGCTCTTCCTACAAAAGTTCTTTCAGGTTAAGATTAGGACTCTGAGGTGACCATTTTGCAACACCCACCACACCAGCTATTTATTCTATATGTTATAACTACCCTCTGCATAATTTAGAATTGTGATTTGAACCATTATTTTGTTAAATAAAATTGGTTATTAATTTGAGTCCAGAAGAAATCATGATTTTCTCTGGAATCTGTTTTTATTACTCTTTATTCATAATTCCTACAATTTTTACCAAATCTTTAATTCTGTATTTTTTTTAACCAAATATCTTCGATTTGTTACAAATAAAAAAAATCGATTTGTTAATTGAATAAGTTTTTAGGGTTCCGTACCCAAAGGGTAACCAACGGGACCCTTTTACTAACTCATGCGTCCGTCCGTCTGTCAGCGGGCTGTATCTTATAATCTGTTGAAATTTTTACAGAATATGTATTTCTGTTGCCGCTATAACAACAAATATTAAAAGAGGCTCCCCTACTAGAAACGTGTTTCACACATGAACACTTCATGCGCAAGTCCGACTCGCTCTTGACCGGCTTTTTTATAACATCTACTGTTCAATCCCAATGGGTAAAGGCCCACTGTATCAGTTTCTTCTTATTTTGTGGCCTTAACACAGGTTTTCAATCGTTTTCTACTGTAGTTAGTGAATGTTTCCTGGGACTGTCAGACTTTTGTTATGCTTGCTGGTAACACCAATGAAATTGCGATCACTAGAAATGGTAGCAATCAGGCCTTCCGAGCGTCCCTTTGAACAGATTCCTAGATCCTAGATAGAAGGTTTTTAGTAGTCGTGACTTGGTCACAAAAGTTAAACAAAGCCAAAACCCCAAAACACGCTTTTGAAGGCAACTGTCTGATTATTAAGATCGGAAACGAAATTGCAATTATTGCTATCTATCGTCCACCTTCATATCGTTCATATGAAAACTTTTTGCAGGCTATTAATGACATACTAGAACCGTTGAATAAATTCACTAATATTATAGTTACGGGTGACATGAACATAAATATAAGCACTACAAATTCGAACCCCGAATGTGACGAATATCTCGATCTAATGGCTTATCACGGATTACTGTCAACACATTCACTGCCTACGAGATTAAACTCATGCCTGGATCACGTATTTTTAAAATCTCGTTTAAAGGCAATAACTTTAATAATTTCTTCTACTGTAACGGATCACTATACATTTCTATTTTGTCTCGAAAACCATATAACTCCTCTAAGTGAATCAAAACTCTACAAATTTATTGACTATGAAAAAGTTCCATCTGAATTGAATTTGGAAATTCTCAACGCTATATTAAATTGTACAGATGTTAATATTGCTACAAATATGCTAGTAAAGGAGCTACAAAGAGCTATAGACGTACATACCACAATGAAGACCGTTCCCGCTCGTAAGAGAATAAAAGTTCCCTGGCTTACTCAAGGGCTACTAAGGTGCATTAGACATAGAGACAAACTACATCGTGATGTCATAAGTCATCCTGATAACATAAAACTTACGATTACTTATAAACGCTATAGAAATTTTTGTAACGAATTATTAAAAAAAGTTAGGGCAGATTTTGATAACAATGAATTATATAAAGCTGGAAATGATAATAAAATAAAGTGGAAAATCGTTAAAAATATAGCTAAAATAAATAGTAATGTTACATCTTTAAATACTAATCTTCTTAGCCTAAAAGCCAGTCCAGTAGAATCAATTAACTATATTAATAATTATTTTGCCAATATTGGAAAGAAACTGGCAGATGAAATTTCAATAAATTACGTAATGAATGAGTCAACAACAGCGGATTCGAATTTAATAAATCAGTCTCAATCTTTGGGCTTAAGACCCACCGATCCACTTGAAGTCGAGTGTTTACTGAGTAATCTTAAACATAATTCTGCACCAGGCTACGATGGAATTTCCAATCAGGTGCTTAAATCTACTAAGCACCTGATAATTCCCTCTATTGTGCACATTTGTAACCTTAGTCTTGAATCAGGTATGTTTCCTGATCAGTTCAAAGTTGCTTTGATAAGTCCTATACATAAAGGCGGAGACAGAGACAGTATCAGTAACTATCGTCCCATTTCCATTCTACCAGCTCTATCTAAAGTATTAGAACGTCTATTAAATAATCGTATAAAATCATATTTTTCTAAATATAACTTACTTTCTGAAAATCAATTTGGTTTTATAAATGGAAAATCTACTGAAGATGCAGTTTTATCTCTAACAGAGTTCATTGTAAAACATGTTGACAGTAATAATAAATGTATTGGAATATTCTTGGACCTCGCAAAGGCGTTCGATACTGTCTCTGTGCCGATACTGTTAGCTAAGATGGAAAAAACTAGGTATCAGGGGTACATCTCTGAAGTTGTTTATAAGTTACCTATCAAATAGAACTCAACTTGTAAGAATTGGAAGCCTAACAAGTGAAAAAACTAATATTAATTATGGTGTACCTCAAGGTAGCGTACTTGGCCCTACCTTGTTCCTAATATATGTGAATGATCTATGTGGGCTTAAAATGCGCGGTTGTAAAATTGTTGCCTATGCGGATGATACTGTTCTACTGTTTCATGCACCATCCTGGCATGAAAGCATTGATTTAGCTCAGATAGGTCTCGAAGAAGTTATGTCATGGTTGAGAAAGAATTTGCTAACCTTGAACATTGATAAGACGAAGTATATTACTTTTATGAAATCATCAGTAGGTCAAAATGAACTTGACTCTTATTCTCTTAAAGCACATATGTGTGGTAACTCTTCATCACTTTTATGTAACTGTCAGACCATAGAGAGAGTGAAATCCATTAGATACTTAGGTGTTACTGTTGATTACCTCTTAGACTGGCAAGAGCATATAATTAAATTAAAAAGTAACATTAGAAAACTAATACCAGTGTTTAAACGTTTAAGACATATTCCAATTGAACTACTCAAAACCATATATAATGCTCTCTGCCATTCGCTACTGTCATACTGTATTACTGCTTGGGGAGGTACTTACAAAACTTATATCTTGCGCACTGAAAGATCTCAAAGAGCTGTGCTGAAAGTTATGCTTTCTAAGCCTTTTAAGTTTCCCACAAGCAAGTTGTTCTCGGAAGTAAATGTGCTTACAGTCCGACAGCTATTTATTTTAAAATCTGTTCTTAAAACACATAAGAATTATAATTGTAACTTAAATTTATTTCAACAGTTAAGAAGAAAAGATCGAATTATACTACCAGACAAATTTCACTCGTCTTATGCTCAAAGACAAATAAACTTTTTGGGTCCTTACCTTTATAAAAAAATTAGCAATATTATAACGATATATACGCTAACGCGTTTTAAATGTAAGCAAGCTCTAACTAAGTTTTTAATGTCTTTATCTTATGAGGAAACTGAAAAATTATTAAATATAGGTAGGTGAAACACAAACTCTTAAGGAAATATCACACACTCACACTTTCTTTCTCACACGCACATACACATATACACACACGTAATTACTCACTCACAAACACACACACTTATTTACTGCACACTCGCATCTACCTATTAGTATTTTACACATAGTTTAAGCTTATAATATTGGTTAGGATTAATAAATTATTACATACTATAAAACATTTTACTTATTCTCCTTTTGCTTTTTTTTATTATTATGTTTTTTTAAGGAAATGTAATATTATTTGAGTCACAACCCACTAGTTGTAACAATTATTTTTATGTGGAATCTAGAATAAGTTCTTGTAAGAGTTTGCTATAATATCAATAAGTGTGTGAAATATTTATAACATGTCGCTTCTGCCTTGATCTTGTACCACACAACTAATCTTTTAGTACATACAGCCACAATGTTATTGAACCATTTGTCGGATTTTTTACTTAACTAATTGTTTTACGTCTACCCACTTTACATCGTTTATGAATCGTCGTATAAAATGTGTTTTTTTATGATTCTGTTATTCTATTTCGAATGTATTAAAAGGGGAGAGCTTAGCAGCTGTAACACAGGTCTGTGACCTAGCACAGTTGCTAAAGATACCATAATTATAATATTGAATTGGATTAAGTCTTAATTATATAAATATTATAAGGTTTTGTTTTATGTAAAGTGTTTTTGGGATCAATAAATTATTATTATTATTATTATTATTATTATTACATGGTTAGCCCGAGGTGGTCGCTCTGAGTGGGCTTGCCTCCATTTCGCGTATATCGCGCAGCCGTGTTGGATTCCCGGCAAACGCTCCTCGTTTGTATGGCGATTAGAGTTGAACCAAAGGTTAGCTTTTAGCCTAAGCTGATTGTTCGGCATGTGCTGTAACCTTCGGCGGAAGCCGATGCCGTAGGTTTAATCTGCTTGGAAATTTATTCTAGCACTAACAAGTAGATATAACAATGCAAACTGTACTATTATTTCTGTTTTAAAATGATGCACATTAATTACAATTATATATATATACAAAATGTAACAAAAAACCGTGGTTCCCGTTAAGTACGTTATCAGGATCATTATACAAACCTCTAGAAATAACTTTTTTTTTTACAAACTCACTCAATACAATATTTTTTTTATTTTATTTAAAAAAATAATTGTATGCAAATTGTATGTGGTTTTATTACCTCTGCATTGTCTGGAGAGTAAGAGAATTGTCAAAGACCCTGCAATACTTAGCTTTAGCATCGGCTAGTGTCAGTAAGAGGTAATAAAACCACATAAAATATTTTTTTTTAATAAAAAAAATAATATATTGAAGAGAAAAAAAAGTTATTTCTATAGGTTTGAATACTGATAACGTACTTAACGGGAATCACAGGTTTTTTGTTACATGTTGTATGTATATATATATATATATATATATATATATATATATATATATATATATATATATATATATATATATATATATATTTTTTTATTTTTTTTCTGGGTGGTTGGACTTAACTAGGAGTTACCACCCTCTTACCTATTCCGGCCGCCAAAATAGTAGTGCTTCCACTGCTGTGTTCCCAGCTGAAGGAGATAGTGTGCCAATGTTATTATAGGCGGTGAGGCATGCAATCTTAGTCCTCAGACCCTAAATACTCATCTGTAGCCTACTTTGTTTGAAGTTGGCTGCGTGTGTCCATGGCCTGCAGTAATTGATTTTAATGTCGGTGGTCACGACATGTTTGACCGCGCTCCTGAGACACCTGTTCTAATATTCGCTTGACTGTAAATTATGATTATAATTACCTGAGAAAAAAACCAGGCTTAATAAATTCAGATACTTTTTTTGGCTCTGCCTCTTGGACTATTACCTTCATTACAAAAATTAACGATAACAGATCACGTTTCATTTTTAATTTCGCGTACTTTCTTATTTTTAAAACATCTTTACTGTAGGAACCACAAGTTCGAAATAGTTACACTAAATAATTCATCCCTATTTCAATACTCTTAGGGGTGAAAGTTTTTATTTTAATTTATATACGACCATATGAAAAGAAAATTGTATTCCTGACTTTTCAAATACATTATTTACGTGTATTAAATTTAGCGCTTTATTATTTAAACAGGTATATATTGTCACCTACAGGGAAAAAATTAATAATGTTTACCAAAATAAATCATCATCATCATCATCATCACAGCCCTTCACAAGTCCACTGCTGAACATAGGCCACCCCCAAGGAATAGAAATAGAAAGAAAGGCCACAAAACCGATATAGACTGTATGGGTACATTTGTCCGTTGTCTATTAAATGCTAAAAAATATGACAGCGCCTTTAATTTTTTTAATAGCAATAAAACTTATAAAATTTGAAAATCTAATAAAAAACCTGTTCTCGATATGTCAATTTTTTCGTGAGTTATCGTGACCACATACGAAATCAACATCCGGACGTTTTTTTTAAAATTAGCAATATAAAAAGATTTTTTACAAAATATAAGATGCATTAATTAGAGTGTTTTCTTGATATATGGTTACTCATATTATCGTAGAAATGCAATATGGTTATGATAGAGGCATTTTAAGAACAAAAAATGGCTTGACCTTGGAGTGTCGAGAGTAAAACACCTATAACGCTTCGCGTTATGAGGCGTGCAATGAGTTCATAATGACGAAGATATTGCTTAACATATTAAACATACAATAAAAACATACAATCGAGCCAAATGCAATAAAGACATACCTCTGTTCTTATTAAAGTTGGCTAATAGTAATGATAATGAAGATGAATAATTCTTACAGTCACGGCTGGCGGTCAACTCAGTCACTCGAGGTGACTATAACAGACCTCTCCAGATATCAAAGTTTGTTATGGAACTGAATGCTGGCTTCAGGTAATTTAAAATACTTATGTAATTTAAATTTCTAATTCTATTCCAAATTCTATTCTTACGTGTTTTTTCCTATAAACAAAATTTTGTTTGACACTATTGACTCTGTAAACAATTATGTAATTAACCACTGGGCCTGTTTCAAATTTCCTGGTTTCAGATTCAATGTTTGTCAAATTGAAAAATTATTTGTATTATTTATAACGACATGAGAATTATGAATATTTTCGAATGTTGACAGTTCCGCAGGAAATATTATACATATACAGTTAATGTATCAAATGAACGCGAAAACTTGCTCCGTTTTGCTTGTGCAAAAAAAAAAGGACGTAACCCGTGCAGTATCAGAAACAATCAAAACACATCTAGACTTACTTACTTACCGTTACCGTTACAGCCTATTAAAGTCCACTGCTGAACATATTACTTATAGGGGGATATTTGCCATAGTTTGCCACTCTTGGCAAGCAGGTTCAAAACCGCTGGCCATTTTTTGATTTTTTTGACTCTGTCGCCTCTTACGATACCCACGTGATGATATAGGGTGGGATGATGTGGGGTAGTGAAAATGAAAATGAAATGAAATGAAAATGAAAATGAAAAATGAAAATACTTTATTTGACAGTTAGCACCTTTACAAATAATTTAACAGTGGTCCTCACACTAGGCTCGCAGACCTGTATCGTGAGAGCCATATACACATATTAACAAAAACAGAATTAGTGCACGGCTGACTTTACAAAGCTTTCTTTACTTTAAATGTCTTCCTCATTTTATTTATAGTCTGTAAACATAAATATATACTTAAACACATATACACACACATATACATATAGCCATCCATATAAACATATATACACAAACATACATACATACATACACACATACATATATATACATATATATATACACATATACACACATACATACATATATATACATACACATAATATAATTTGTTAATATTACAGTATTTTGAATTACTACTTTAATAACAATAACAATATCAATCAAATATCAATATTGGGCACATAACTACTATGACAATGTTTGGAGCAGCTTCTCTGTTTGTTCATAATTAAGCGTAAATAACCAATTTCTTATTTTCTTTCTAGCTGTATTCGTTGAGCAATCTCTTATGTCGCATGCCTTCATAACTTTGTTAAATATGAGTGTTTCTATGAATGGATTAAATCGTTTTGCGAAAGCTGTGCGAACGCTTGGTAATGGCATTTGGAACACACGTTTTTTCTTTAGCTCATTGAATTTATCTAAGCTTAATATTTTTCTATGAGCACTGGTAGCCACACATAAGACAAATAGCTGCCGAACTGTAAGCACTTTACAATCTCTATATAATTTAACTGTTGGATACCTGTATTTCTTATTAAGCATAACTTTCAGGACAGAACGTTGAGCTCTCTCTATCCTCATCATGACTGTTTTGGAAGCGCTTCCCCAGCAAGAAATACAATACGTTAGCAGCGACTGACATAAGGCATAATAGACGGTCATTAATGTACTCAGTGGTGCAGAGTTTCTCAGTTTTCTCATGATATAAACTATATTACGAATTCTTCCTGCCAATACCGAGATATGCGCCTTGAAGTTAAGATTGTGATCAATGAATATACCAAGGTATTTAATAGATTCCACTCTCCGAATATTTTCACAACTACACAAATTCTTCTTAGTTGTGCAATGATGCAATTTTATGTGTTTGTCAGTAGGTGGTGCTGACGAACGGGTCTTATGAAAGCACATATAATTAGTTTTTTCTACGTTGAGAGTTAACAGGTTTGAGTTTAACCAATGAGCAACCTGTGAAATACCGCGTTCCGCCACAGAAATGGCGTCATCCCACGTTTTCCCAGTATATAAAATGACTGTATCATCAGCATAACATATTATTTCTGAATGTTTTGTGTTGAACTGATGTATGTCGTTCATGTATATGACAAAGAGAGTGGGACCGAGAATACTTCCCTGAGGCACACCATAATTAACATTCTGCATTTCACTTAAAGAAGTACCCACTCTCACGCACTGTTTCCGTTCCTGCAAATAGCTTTTGAACCAATCTAAAGGTAATCCTCTGATTCCTACGTTTTCAAGCTTTTTACATAATAAAGGTACGGAAACAGTGTCGAAAGCCTTGGCTAAGTCTAGGAATACGCCAATACAGCATTCGTTTTTGTCAAGGCAAGAAGATATATGTGAAATTAAGGTGGTTACAGCGTCCTTAGTGGTAGTAGTAGGTAGTGGATATTCTTTCACCGCCACTACACAGTAACATCTAGACTTAGTAGTTTTCTTTTACAAAAAAAAAAAACTGAAACTGAATGTGTTCAGAATAGTGGCAGTTGATAGTTGATCAGTTTCAAACTACAGTTTAGTTGGCACCGACTTTGGATGTAGGTGATTACAGATAACAAATTGGTTAAATAAAGAAGCTTGACAAATGAGTAATGGAACTGAGTGCGCACAGCAAGAAGCCCGCGTCCAAAATTGTATGATATTAGTTTCGGCATAGAAAAGAGGGAATTTCGAGTCGAATTGTTAGCTGGAACGAGATGTGCATGCTATCTGATAATCGCAATTGTCCAAGCCAAATAGCGTCAGCAGAGAAAGATTAGCTAGGAGAAGTTTATGGTGACTATAGCTTTATGCCATCTGGTGCCACAGTCACCGCTAATCGGTATTGTCATGAACTGCAAATGATAGTGGAGAATCTGGCACTCAAACAACACAGGTTGGTGAACTACTCTTCGCCATTGCCTCTTTACGTCAACATCCGGCCACATACTTCGCAACAGACGAAGGCAAAATTATCAGAGCAATAGCTAGAGCCCCTTTCTCATCCATATGCTCCAAACATTGCCCCAACATACCTCCACTTTTTTCGAAATTTATAAAGTTTTTTGATAGACAAAAAGTTCTATTTCGAAGAACGGTAAGGAAAAGAAGTCTTTAAAGAATTAATCGGTTGTCTTGCAGCAGACTTCTATAGCAAGACATCAACAAACTGCCCATAAAATAGCAAGTGTTAAAAGGCAAATATTTTGAATTCCTTTTTTAAAAAAAATCTTCATTTCTATTTTCCCATACAAAACGGCAATTTTATTGTTAAATACCTAATGTTTCACGATATTAGAAAGTCTGACTCACAATATACTGTCGTATACTTTTGTAGCTAACTGCAGACGGTAAATAGTGGTCACATCTTTTTAAGTTTAATTTTCGAAACTGATCTGATTAGTTGATTAAAGTTAAAAAAAATCTCTGATACCCCTAATTAAGTTTGACATGGGACATTGAACCTCAGTTTGTATTTGTAATCTACCTATTTATACTTGACCTATATATACGTATATCGTTGATATAGGTATACGAATTGAATAAAACAGTAATAAAGTTCAACTTTCGTGTTGGTGAATGTTTGCGATGGAGTAGAAGCGTAAACAAACCTTTTTGGAATTTGTGTCCGTCTATTGTTTACGTGAAATAGACATAATTTTTATTATTTAGCTCGTAGTCTCACTTTACATGCATAGATATGGCTATGCTTCTGATAGATGGCAGTATAATCTCATATACGCCAGACTCAGTTGTGCCAATGATGCAAGGCGTCTGGCACTGTGGTTGCTAATCCTCCTGTCTTCTAGAAGTCCGTGTCCAGGCGTGGACTATGATGAAGGAGAAGTATGTTAAGTATTCTACATCATTACGTTCACCAAGCGTGACTAGTGTGTTTGGCAGTGAACTGCTAAGTCTTGATGAAAAGCTTCTAAAAAAACCTTAAATGTTGTCCTTATATTATTTTTCTAGAAGGTTCTTGTATAAACGTGATGCTACATATCTATATCATACTGATTGTATAAAGTTGAAGTCATCTCGGTTTTTATAAGACCTGACTGGCTCTGTAGTAATTGTGCTTTTGCTGATCTTTCTAATTGAAGTTTTTCTTTTCAGGTTACTTAACTTCAAAAACGATCACTTGCGAAAGCGGTTCGACGCTCTCAAATACGACGTGAAGAAAATAGAAGAAGTTGTCTATGATCTCAGTATCCGTGGTTTACTTCCTAAAACGGAGACTGATGGCATGGCCATAGAGTCGTAGTGTGATAGAATTAATTAAAAAAATATTTTTACTTTGTCTCTAATTTGTCGAAGTTTAAAAAGAATTATCATATTGCTTTAAACGTGAACGTACCTAAGATAGATGATCATTATTTTAGGATTAAGGATGATTAACTATAAATGTTCACTGCTGAATATAGGCCTCCCTCGGAGATACCACATAGGGAGGATTTAGCCATGGTTGGCAGACGGATTACAAACTTCAGTTTTTTGTAATTTTGGGTTTTCAGGAAGACGCTGCCGCTCATCTCGTGTTTAAGTTTCCTTCTGGTGCCTCTTAAGGACACCCACGGAACTATATGGGGTAGTGGATTTTCATACACTGTCACTACACGGTTATTAACTCATATTCTCATCTAATTAAAATTTTCGTAGAACGTAGAACAGAATACAGAAATCTTTTGGACATCAAGTGATTCTTTATCCGATGAAATTTCCATGTGATAAACACGATTAATAATGTTCACGTCCAATCGCAATATCTACATATTAAAAAGAAACTGAAATTTATATCTAGCTATGAAAAGAGGTTGGTTAAGATTCTTTCAAACTGAGGCGAATCCCGCGTGGGATGCGGGACGCGATTCGCTTGCGCCGATTGCGCCAGCTAACTTGTATGGAGGTGTTCACATTGGCGCGAATAGTCGCACGTGCTGCAGCGAAATATACGCGGATAGTGCCTGATTTTTCGAAATGCCGTTGAAACTTGAATTATTTTTACAAAAAGTAAAAGAAAACAATATTCTATACGACCTCAGCCACGAATACTATAAAATTAATAGGAAAAAATATATTTTGTTCTATTCTTGATAAAACTTCGTTATAGCATTCTTCTGGCATACGAAAGTATATATAAAATCTTTTTTTATCTTTTCGTAATGTGGGCATCACAGTGTGAAAGTCCAAATACTATGCGTTGAGTACTCAGCTCATGAATCATTTTCTGCTTTTCTTCCGCACACCTCGTACATCACATCGTTGTACGTGGTATAGTTGTAGCAGGAATGGGTCGGCTCGACCGGGGAAGGACCACGCTCTCACAGTATACCAGCGTAAAATAGAAGCTTACCGCTGCTGTGTTTCGTACGGTGAGTGTAGAGAACCGGAGACGCTTTTTACTGGAAACGAGGCATTCCATCTTAGTCCTCAAGGGTGACAACCCATCTGCAGTTTGATTCTTAATCGAGGATAGATGTAGATGTCTGTGGGTCACAGCAACCACTCACAATCAGGTGGACTGTGTGCTCGTTTGTCACCCTTATCCTATAAAAAATGACATCTTGAGATTTAGACTTCTTCAGCTAATGCTAATAACAACAAAATCTCAGCTTCAACACAAAGACGTTTTCCTATTGAGAAACCAAAAATAATGAGGCGCGGTATTCACGTTCCGCGTCCCGCGCGGTTTTCACCTCAGTTTGAACGAAGCGTTATTTTACAAATTTTTAGCGCAATGTTCTTTTTGGGCTGATTTTGCAATTATTAGAGAAAAGTATTATTTAAAGGATAAAATACAACATAATTGAACTATTTTATTCATACAACTGTAATGTTTAATTTGTTTGTTTCACTTTTATATTCAGTCTGGCTACAATTTATTTTAAATTAGCCCTTAGACATACATACAATAGATAGTTTACTATTTTAACCAAGCGTTCGATATTTGTTATAGGCCATTAAATCTATTTAACATTGCCCTTTTAACGTTAACAATATTATATAAAAATAAGTTTAAAAAAGACTGTTACTTTTAGAATAAGAAGTATATGAAGCGTCCGTCCAGAGACGTCGGACGTCATCATAATATAAATGGTAACTTATTGCTTAGAACTGATATTATATTTATGTGTTTGCATATTGTAGCCTCTTAGTTCGATGGTATTTTTTAAATGCAGAATATTATACCAGTTTCGAAATAAGGAATTTGCACTAGTATTATTTGTTGAATGTCTTATCCTTTTCAACCGATTAAATGAGGGGACTCATTTGAACCTACCAAATACAATATTATGATCGAGTTTTTGTTATAGAAATAAAACTGACATCAGTTATCTAGAATACCCATCAGAATCAAGACATCTTATATTTTACGGCTCTTGCCCCGCACATGATATAAAAAAAATGTTCTAACTGTATAATATATAGTTGTACGTGCAGATATATAGGTACGGACCGCACGATCTATCTTGGCCGAGCTAAAGTTAGTCGCGACTGGCTGCGCGGATATAGTTTTTAGAAACAAAATGGTGACAAGAGGAGTGGGAGGTTGGGCGGTAACTAAAACTAGAGATGCGAATACACGTATTGTGCGTAATATCGTGAGAAATAAAAATCATCTTTTTACAACGTTTTATTAGCTTTATTCACGCGCCATCATGTTAGTACAGCTAAATGAAATGATAAAAATCTTTTCATGATTTTTTTAATGAAATTATCGTTTCATTTAGCTGTATTAACATGATGGAGCGTGAATAAAGTTAATAAAACGTAGTGAAAAGATGATTTTTTTTCCTCGGAATGGATTTATTTGTGTCCCATGATCAAAGGTAGTACTACCATCTGTTTTAGTTTTCGAGAGCGTTTCACAAACACCCGGTATGTGTAAAATTTATACTCATAAAACATTGTTACATACCTTATGTACACGCCCCTAGCTGCCCCAACAAAGGTTGACGGGACTAGGGCCCATGAGTAATTCCATCGACGGTCAGCAGAGGGACGGGGCCACTTGGCCACATGGAATTTCCTATCACAATAAACTATATGGGAGAAAGCTAGAAACACATAGTACTTACCATTATCCGAAGCTAACTTCGCACCAAGGCTTAGGCAGGCCGTGAGTGTGTGTAATAGTGGATGGCGAGTAGTGTACAGTGAGGTGTAAATGTCTGCGACCTGAGCAAGCTTAGGCGACCAGCAGCGGCCGAGTTCCAGGCTACCCCAAAATGCTGCATCGCTCCAGCAGGCTCCATCGCTGGACCATTTCTTTCTTCATTTTCACTAATAATCACTAAATCTCTTAGCTTCATTGTACATTTAACTAACTTCAATTCGCCTAATTCCACACATCGCAGAATCGAACACGTGATATCCGACACGGCAAGGACAGTAGAACAAAATTCGACATGGAATGTCCCGGATTCACTTATCACAAATTATAAATTCGGCACCAGAATAACACGTCGCGCCAGAGTCAAAATACGCCTCGTTGACACGCAAATTAATCTAACTAGGCAACCTAAACACAAAGGGCTCTAACCGCGACGACACCATTATAACGATATCCTGACAATTAACCGGGAGAAGCTCTCAAACAAGGGATGCGTGGCTTAATCCTAGACCGTATATTATACCGTATACTTACCATTATCCGAAGCTAACTTCGCACCAAGGCTTGGGCAGGCCGTGAGTGTGTGTAATAGTGGATGGCGAGTAGTGTACAGTGAGGTGTAAATGTCTGCGACCTGAGCAAGCTTAGGCGACCAGCAGCGGCCGAGTTCCAGGCTACCCCAAAATGCTGCATCGCTCCAGCAGGCTCCATCGCTGGACCATTTCTTTCTTCATTTTCACTAATAATCACTAAATCTCTTAGCTTCATTGTACATTTAACTAACTTCAATTCGCCTAATTCCACACATCGCAGAATCGAACACGTGATATCCGACACGGCAAGGACAGTAGAACAAAATTCGACATGGAATGTCCCGGATTCACTTATCACAAATTATAAATTCGGCACCAGAATAACACGTCGCGCCAGAGTCAAAATACGCCTCGTTGACACGCAAATTAATCTAACTAGGCAACCTAAACACAAAGGGCTCTAACCGCGACGACACCATTATAACGATATCCTGACAATTAACCGGGAGAAGCTCTCAAACAAGGGATGCGTGGCTTAATCCTAGACCGTATATTATACCGTATACTTACCATTATCCGAAGCTAACTTCGCACCAAGGCTTGGGCAGGCCGTGAGTGTGTGTAATAGTGGATGGCGAGTAGTGTACAGTGAGGTGTGAATGTGTGGGGCCTTGCCAAGCATAGGCGACCAGCAGCGGCCGAGTTCCAGGCTGCTCCAAAATGAGGTAATCTTCCGCGGCGCCGTCCACAGTCACTTTCCTCGCTCGTCACTATGACAGTCCATTAACTCTATCGTACTATTAACTAATTTACAGAAGCCACTAACACTCGTTTGTTATAAAGCTTAACACACAAACGAACAGGGAGTGTCCGGATCAAAGGTCACTACCGCTTCGCGTAGCAACAGTTATTTCTAGAATATCAAAGGCCGCATTAGCTAATATTGTCGAATGCACTTATACAGATTCTGAGTCAGACACCATGAGTCCCGGGGAAGCTCTCCAGCAAGGAATGCGCGTTATAAAATTCTAGACAGTATATTTACTAGCCGCGCCTAATTATTCCGAGTTCCCGAACAAAAATTGACAGCGTGCTGACGTTAGCACAGCTGGCAGACGACTACTGCGCTCGCGTGTTCTACCCACGACCGAACGTCAAATCGGTATGGCACCGAGCCGCGCGCCCTCTGACGTCGATTCCGAAAACAGCGTTTGGCGCGAACTTATCATTTATTACTTATCAAAGGGTCGGTTGTCTGAGCGAGGCATTTTTGTATCCTTGTTGTATTGTGGTTCGTATTTAATCTAATAAATGGTAATTTGTATTTGTGTAATTGTATTTAACTTGATTTGATAGGAACGGTATTTTGTTACCCGAAAACAGCGTTTGGCGCGAACAAACCCCCGTCCCGGACATAAGGATTTAGGTCCGCGAGCAAACCGGTCAGCGGGACAAGGTCGCGACGGCAAGTTGCAAGACCGAATCTACAACCAAACTAGGCAACCTTAGGCACCCCATCAGATCTTGCAACCTTAACCAACGCCTCAAAATTACAGCCCCAACGTAGGCAAGCCGGAAGGTTGAACTGGATGCCCTTCCTGGACATCGCAGCCCATA